GGGGGGGGATGTTCTGCAGAAACTAACTATAGAGATTTGTAGATGAGTCGGGGGCAGGGCAGGTTATGTGCTGCAATGATTAGAATGCTTAACACCTGCTGAGATTAAATATTTGGCCACACTGGGAGAGCATGGTTTTCAGCAGGCTGGCCAGCTCATAGACTTCCATTGTGAAGAGGAGCAGTAAAACACAACCACTGATGAGCAGGAAGCGGAGCCTGAGTATGTAATGAGTAAGTATAGCTCCCTCCATGCAGTGTGATCACAGACCGGTATTGTCGGCAGCACTGAATCTAATGCACAATATACAACAATCTCACAGACCAAAGACAGAGGTCTGTATGTGGCGACTCCTCTCCGGCACAGACCGCTCACTAGTCTAATCTACAGAGTCACCGTCCGGCAGGGCGATGGGATCGTTGTAATTACCCTACAAGGGGCTTCAGTATTGTAGAGTCATTGCATGCAAAGTCTTCCACCATCCGTCCATGTGATGGATAAATCTGTCTGGACCTTTCTAGGGGTCCCCGGCACACAGAGGTGCCCAGAGCTTTAATGGCTTTCTTTGTTCCCTTTCCAGAAATATGGAGGCCACCCGGAGGATCCCTCTTCCAGAATCCACTTACAGACATCTTCTCGGGTGTAGGGATGAGATCACGGACCTCTTCCTCAGGAAATTCAGTTGTGACGCGGAGTTAAGTAGCGGGTATCAATCTGCATCAGTCAAGCCTGAAATAGTTTATAAGAAGAGAACCTCGGGGGGCCCCGTGGTCAGTGTGTGGAAGGATGACCTCACTAGGCAGGACGCCGATGTTGTGGTGAACGCCGCTAATGAAGATTTGGATCATGCCGGGGGGTTGGCCCGTGCTTTGGTGGAAGCTGGAGGGCCAATCATAGAGAAGGACAGCAAAGAATACATTAGGGCCAATGGACGCCTAAAAACTGGAGAGTACGCAGTGACGCATGCAGGAAATCTCCCCTGTAAGTGTCTCCTTCATGCCGTGGGCCCGGTATGGTTCGATGACGCAGCCGCCCAATGCGAGTCTGAGCTCGCCGAATGCATCAGGAATGTGCTGAAATATGTGGACAACCACAAGGACATCGGATCTGTGGCCATCCCAGCCGTCAGCTCCGGGATCTTTGGGTTTCCTCTCCAAAAGTGCGCAAAGATTATGGTGGAGACCATTCACTCGTTCTGCAACCGCGTGACGCAGTCCCATGTAACGGAGATCCGGCTGGTGAACAACATTGATCTGACTGTCCAAGCCATGAGATCCGCCTGTGAAGCCATTTTTGGACGAGGTGATGACCTCAGTGGCGCCACATCAGCTTCCGGCAACCAAACGCGGCCGGTGACACGCAGCATGGGCGCCACACCACAACCTTCATCATCAGCGTCCAGCAACATGACCGGTCATGGACAGCCCTCAGCACACGGGTCTTCTCCTCACATGTCACAGTCCATCACCATCAACGGCTTAACACTCCACCTGACAAAGGGGCTGATCCAGGAGCAAAAGGTAAGTCCTTGTCATGTCTCCCTCCATCCCCTCCCCCCATGTCCATAGTAAAGGAACACATGCATACATACTAATACACAGAAGAAAGTTTCTCTGCTGTCTCAGTTTTGCCTTACCCCGGATAGCCGCAGCCCAAATTGAGAAGGCTCCCCACCCCCACCCCGCCAGCATGCTGTAGAGAGGGGTCCTGGCTCTCTGTGTGGAATCAGTGGTCTCTCTGCAAAGGTCCGATGCGCCCCCTAGTGATTCAGACCTATGGCTCTGCAGCCATCAGAGATCATGCTTCTGGGGCTGTAATGAACCTCTGCAGAGACACCGCTGCTTCCACACAGAGAGCAAGGGGCCTTCAGATTCTAAATGGCACCCAGATGCACCGTGCTGACAGACGTGTGTTGTGGAGCAGGGTCATGTATTGCAATGCACTACGATGCCTTGTGCTGCCAGAAATGGTACATACACCTTTATTGGTGCTTTAGGCAGCACATTGAAACGAGTCTTACCTCAATGCACATTAGCTCTGCACACCTTTCAGGGCAACTTTGGGGTCTATTCGCATAATTCATAATAGCCCGTACAGCTGCCAAAGCGGCCGAGCGGCTCAGCCGAGCCCGAAGGCATATGCTTCAGCTTGACTGAGCCGAAGTGACAACCGAAGCGGGGCGAATGGAGAGCATGCAGAGCATGTACGGCTGACTGAAGTGTGCAGCCGAACATGCTTGCGGCAGCTTTGTGAATGACCCTCGATGTTCTCAGGCACCCGGAATGCATTTCTCTGATGGGAAGTGAAGGTTCGTTGTGGCATTGAGTAATGTATCTTCCCACCGGCAGCTTTCTGCCCCGTTTTACTTGGAGCCACAGAACCTTCTGGGTTCCATGGTGGGGAGAGACCCTCCTAGAGTAGAGCTGCCTCCCCGGGGGGGGAGGGGGGTGTAGGCAGATAGAACCGCCTTATACTCTGAACAGCGAGGTTACAGTTGGCACATAGACACGGCCAAAGCTGGCACTCTGGTACATGGTCAGCCGTAGTTGGGGATGTCAGAAGAGAACATGTATGATTTTCATGCCATGCCGGTGTGTAGTGCAGACATTCATGACGAAAGGCGATAGATACCGGGTGCACACCCGTCAGACCCAATGAGCTCCCCCCATTTGCTGGGGGGGGACAGAGCCCGTGGCTCATTTCTTCCGGAATAAACAGCGTCTGCGGTACGCGGCAGGATTTGCTGCCGGGATCACTCCTGTGCTGTGATTGGCATTGAGGCAGCCAACACGCTCCAGCACGGCCCAAACCTCACCGGTACCATTTTTAAGAATGCAACACATGTGTGTAGCCTTGCGATGTCTTAGTGCATTGGGGTGGCACCGCTACACACGGACACATGCATGGTGCTGCACCACAGTAATAGAAGCAAAACCACAAGGCAGAGAATGTGATTGCGGCTCATTGTTCTTAGTGCCTCAGGTCTGGACAGGACTCGGTGAGACTCTGACACAGGGAAGCGTGATCTCCGGGTACGCGCTGCATCACATGTACACTGACACAGGGAAGCGTGATCTCCGGGTACGCGTTGCATCACATGTACACTGACACAGGGAAGCGTGATCTCCGGGTACGCGTTGCATCACATGTACACTGACACAGGGAAGCGTGATCTCCGGGTACGCGTTGCATCACATGTACACTGACACAGGGAAGCGTGATCTCCGGGTACGCGTTGCATCACATGTACACTGACACAGGGAAGCGTGATCTCCGGGTACGCGTTGCATCACATGTACACTGACACAGGGAAGCGTGATCTCCGGGTACGCGTTGCATCACATGTACACTGACTCAGGGAAGCGTGATCTCCGGGTACGCGCTGCATCACATGTACACTGACACAGGGAAGCGTGATCTCCGGGTACGCGCTGCATCACATGTACACTGACTCAGGGAAGCGTGATCTCCGGGTACGCGCTGCATCACATGTACACTGAACACATGGCCCGCTCTCTGCTGCGTGTCATACATTGCAGACAAAGTCACAGAATTCGGTTTGTTTTTGCAGACAGCGATTATTGTGAACTCCGTCTCCTCTAATCTGGACCTTAATTCTGGAGCGATCTCCGCAGCCATTGTCGGCAAAGCCGGGTATAACATGCAGGGAGAAATCAGAAGAAAAAGATCTACAGGCAGTCCCACCATGATCCCCACCAGGGGCTTCAACCTGTCCTGTGGCTTCGTGTACCACGTCATTTTACCTTTAGGCCATCAGAACGCTCTGCAGGTAAGTGGCCTCCATTGATTTCTCCACCTCTATGGATCAGCAATGCAAACTCAGCTACACCGGTCCCGCCCCTTTCAGGGTGACTATGGGGCATATTTATTGCTATCCGCTCTCCGTTATACCCCACAGCCTTACTCAATACCCGGGTCAATTATTATGATGCGGGCTGCAGTACTGAACGTGCGGTTGACGAACAAGGTGATTGGAATAGAGCTGGTCACATGACTTTGAGAGGTCACATGACTGGGCTCCACTCCCAGCTTTTGCTTTTTTCCCTTCTCATTTTATTATTGGGCACCCCGGGCATCAGAGTCCCGGAATGCACATTTCCAAAGCACGCTACGCTAGTCTTTTATTGTGGTGAGGCCACACCCCTGCTTTATAAATGGGGCCCTATATATAAATATACGGTGTATGTCACTTCTCACCATTTCCTAATAACTGTATATATGATTGTCACAGTGATTGCAGCCGTCATTATAAGCCAGTGCCCGGACAAGGTCCTCTAGCACCCAAGGTGAGATTGCCATCCCCTTCCATGAGCTGAGATGGGTGAAGCCTGCACATACTAATGTACAATTGATAGGGGATGGGGAATTGGGGGGGGTGGGGGGTGTTGCCACATGTTTAAACACTTAAGGACGGGCATGTTAGGCCTTCTTCCTGTCCAGGCCATTTTGCAGTTTTCAGTGTTGAGATAGTGTGGCTGACAATTACTCCGTCATATAACACTGTACACAGATGAGTGAGAAGCCTCACGGTGAGTGGAAATGAATGAATGGATCAGCTGCTGCCTTCCTCATTCATTCCCCATTCATAAATTCCTCTCCTCCCATTGTAGGAGGAAGTGGGGGGATCAATCATATGATTGCTGTGATTGGTCATCACATGGTACTGAACCACTCAGATCAGCTCGGCATGCTCTCTCTGTATACTGATCTGTCTAATGATCTCAGATTTAGAACTGGGGAGGATTGAGATGATGAGTTGTACTCTGATAACAGGATTCAGCACCTTCAGAAGCCTCAGAACAAACACCCTCAGAGCTGTTAGTGAGGTGTGAGCTGAGGGTCACCCATTGCAGCGGGACTGACCCCCTGTGTGTCTAGGAACAGACATGTTGTGACCACGTAGCCATAAGGCAACTCAACGTCATTGTACGAGGCCAGGCCACGGTACACACAAAGCCCAGACAGCTGTTAGCAGGTAAGGGTTGGGTGGTCCGAGGTGACCATGGTCACTGTAGGTGGTCAGCAGGTACAGACCAAGGACTGGAGTTCTAAGTGGCTCTTCAGGAGCAGCAGTGGGGAGATCCTTCAAAACTTTTCTGGCAGAGTCCATGTTTAGGTATTAAAGGTCAAGAAGAGAAGTATTGTTATTCAACATTTTATAAAGCAGACGTTTAACCACTCGAGGACCATAGGATGTGCCTGGTATCGTTTTAAACAGACGGCACCCTGGCTGTCATCTACCAGTGATCTGGAAGGCTGAAGAGCTGCCCAATCACATGTACAGACTTGAGAAGGTACATTTTGTGCAACATAAAAAGTTGCTTCTAGCATTTTCTTTTATTGTACATGTCCTCCGCTTTCAGGTTTCAAGTATATAAAATATTTCTGTTTTTAGATTCTGTATATCATTGATTGGGGGTTTCAAGTCATTTTCTACCAAAAAGATTTGAACGTGTGTGAACAATGAAAGCATCACTCCCTCCATCACTCCTGAATTGGATTGTATGTAATGTGGCTGTGAAGTAGACTATGACATAGATTCCACCAATCACGAATTGGCAATGGGGGATTGCGGGTCAGTCGATTTTCTCTGGTTCCCCCTCATCTCTTTCTTTTCTGTATATTAAAGCTTCACCCGTCTTTGTGTTGTTTCCTTTTCTGGATTTCTGTTATATTTGGATGTTGAGAGCCCAACATCTCCTCCATCACCTCCTCCATCATCTTCACCATCAACTCCCACATCATCTCCCCCATCACCTCCTCCATCATCTCTTCCATCATCTCCCCCATCACCTCCTCCATCATCTTCACCATCATCTCCCCCATCACCTTCTCCATCGTCTTCACCATCAACTCCCACATCATCTCCCCACCATCTCCCACATCATCTCCCACATCATCTCCCCACCATCTCCCACATCATCTCCTCCATCATCTCCTCCATCATCTCCTCCATCATCTCCTCCATCATCTCTCCCATCACCTCCCCCATCACCTCCTCCATCATCTTCACCATCATCTCCCCCATCACCTTCTCCATCGTCTTCACCATCAACTCCCCCATCATCTCCCCCATCATCTCTTCCATCATCTCCCCCATCACCTCCTCCATCATCTTCACCATCAACTCCCACATCATCTC